TCCTCCTGTAAGTCAGTCTCCAGTTACCCCTCCAGGACCCCTCTGGTCCTGCACGGAATTCATCTTGCACTTCACGGAGGGTGTCAGATTGTAGAGGAAAGACAACGCACTTGGAAGCTGGTCATATTTAGGTTTTTCAAAATTGATTTTTATTGTAGTATTAACAATTTTGTGTTAGTTTCAGGGGTACAGCACAGTGAATTAGCTATGCATATACATACATTCCCTCTTTTTAAGATTCTATTCCCATAGAGGTCACTGCAGAGTATTGAAGAGAGCTCCCTGCGTCACACAGTAGGCTCTTATTAGTTATCCATATTCTATATAGTACTGGGTATATGTCAATCCCAATCTCCCAGTTTATTCCTCTCCCGACTTTCCTCCTTGGTAATCATAAGTTTGTTTTCTAGATCTGCGAATCTATTTCTGTTTTGTAAATGGATTTATTTGTACCATATTGAGTTTTGTAACCCAACTTTGCCACTATTATCTGTGGGAACTTAGGAAAGTCGCTTTTCTTCACTGAATCTATTTATTCACCAACAAAACGCTGTTATTTCACAGTGTTGTTGAAGGAATGAAAGAAGATAATGAAAGGAATGAAAGAGCATCCAGCATGTTAGTTTCTTTCCCTCATGGAATCTTTTATTTCTTACTTGACATTGTCATTCAAAGGCATCCTGGTCTCCTCTAAATCAAAGTACGCATGCAAATAGTTGATTCCACCGCTCACCACATGCTCAATAAACACAAATTGCTTGGTTGTGTTTATTTAGCAATTTTGCTATTGCTGGAATATAAGCTCTGTAACTGTGAAGGTTGTCCTTTACTTTCTGTGGCTAAATTAGAGAAAAGTTTAACCTTATTCGAAAAAATAGAAAACTTTGGTAATGGTCATGAATGCACTGATATTTTAAAATTTGAATATTTGTATTTGAATTTCTAACCTTAACTCTGCCTAAGTTTCTTGAAGTCTGTTTTCCTCACAAGTCACTGGGAAATTCACATGTATCATCATAGCATGAAATCATAGATAGGTCGTTATCAAAAAGTGATTGAGTGTTTTGCTAGAATTGCATAATTACACAATAGTCATGAATTATTTGAATAGAAATGTCAATGTATGTAAGTGCAAAGATGTTTTTCTCTGCTATACCAATACTTCTCATTCTTCTAAATTCTCTGATTCCGAAATGCTAGAAGAGGGAGCTCTAACCAGGTTACTGTTTGCTGTAAACATATGTATTATCTCAATGTTATTCTCTCATTGTATTTTCTGTTTTGAAATACCAAGAATTTGAGGTGAAAGCTGTTGGGGCTTTTTTAGATGTGATGTCCCCTTTTGTTCAACCTGCTACCCAGAACTCAAGGCAGCAGCCTCACACCATCTTTGAGGTTGTGGTTGGCAGAATGATGACCCTCTAAAGCTTTCCCTGTCCTAATCCCTGGACTCTGAGGATATATCATTTTACACAGCAAAGCTGAATTGAGGTTGCAGATGGAATTAAGATTGCTAATCATTTTATCTTTAAGTAGGAAGTCTATCCCAGATTATCCAAGTGGATTCAATGTAATCACAAGGATACTTAAACCTGGAAGAAAGATTCAGGGAAGATGTGACAATGGATGCAAGGCCAGAGTGATGTGACATTGTTTTTGAAGATGGAGGAATCAGGCCATGAGCTAAGGGATGCATATGTCTCCTAGAAGCTGGAAAAGAAAACCAAACAGATTCCCCTCAGAGCTTCTAGAAGGGGGGTCAGTGCTGCTGACACCTTGATTTTAGTTCAGTGAAACCCATTTTGGAACTCTGAGCTCTAAGATAGCATATTTATGTTGCTTTAGATCACTAAATTTGAGGTAATTTGTTTTACCAGTATTAGAAAACTAATGCAGACTTTGATACCAGAAATGTGGTGCTAATGTAAAAAGCATGTATTTAAAAAGCAAACAAACTGTAAATGGCCTTGGAATTGGGCAGTGGGTAGAAACCAGAAGGATTTTGAGGAGCACAGTACATTGTTCACAGAAATACAGATGTTTATAGAAATAAGGATATTAAAGTCTGCCAGTAAGGGCTCAGAAGAGAGTGAGAAATGTAGTAGAGAAAAAACATTTAATCATCATAAACAGACCGATGGTAGAAATGAATGTTAAAGGTTCTGCTGGTGAGGACTCAGAAAGAGATGAGGAGCGTGTTATTGGAAACTGGAGGAAAGGAGACCCTTGTTATAGACCAGCAAAATGCTTGATGAAATTGTGTTCTACAGTTGTGTGAAAAGAACTTGTAAAGAATGAACCTGGAGAATTAGCTGAGGAGATTTATGAGCAAAGTGTTGAAGGGGAAGTCTGATGTCTTCTTGCTGCTTAAAGTAAAATTCAAGGTGAATGATACAGATTAAGAAGAAATGTTAAAAGGAAAGAAACCAGGCCTTAGCCTATTTGGAAAATTCTAACATTATCCAATGCAAAAAAATAATCGCTAAAATTAAGATTTGTCATCAGGAAAGTAGACTCTAGAGAAAAAGTTGAGGGTGTGGCTATGTAATCTTTTCCTAAAATCTTCAAGAAATCAGAAGATTGGAGTGTATAGTCACAAAAGATTTCTTTGAAGAGTTTATGAGTGTGACTCACAGATCCCCTAGAAAATCAGAGTGCATCTTAGGAAGCTGGGAACATTGTCTCATGGCCATCTCAGCAAATGCCAAAAGTGGAGACAGGATTATCTAGGGAAGACTTGTGGAAGAGCCTTCTGTCTGATGGAATAAATGCCCATGACATGTATGGGAGATCCACAAAGTTTTTGAGAACTTTATATGAGGAAGAACACTGCAAGTTAGGACTAAAAGTGCCAGTTTGGAGAGATAGTATGAAAGTTAAAGAACCAACAAACAACAAAAAACTATTGGTCCTGTAAAAGCTTACAGGCAAGAAACAAGCTTATAAAACTACTCATATTACTTTTCATGAAAAAAGGAAGGATGCTCAGGATGTGAAGCCACAAGCTCAGAGGGTGGAATTAAGAGCCACAGGAATGATTCCAGTGGGGCTTCCCTGGTGGCTCAGATGGTAAAGAATCTGCCTGAAATGTGGGAGAGCTGGGTTTGATCCCTGGGTCAGAAAGATCCCCTGGAGAAGGAAATGGCAACCCACTCCAGTATTCTTGCCTGGAGAGTCCCACTGACAGAGGAGCATGGTGGACTACAGCCCCTGGGGTTGCAAAAAGTCGGACATCACACACACACACACGGGATGATCCTGAGGTGCTGATGCCTTGTGAGATTTGTCTGACTCTTGTTGCTGCTTTTATTCTTCCCATTTTCACTGCTTGAACTGAATGTCTATAACTGATATCCTATGTTTACCTCATCATTGTATATTGGGAGCAGATAACTGGTTTTCTAGTTTCTACAGATGGGAAGGAATTTTGTCCCTGGATGGATTATGCCAACCCTTTGTGACCCCATGGACTGTAGCCCTCCAGGTTTCTCTGTCCATGGGATTCTCCAGGCAAAAATACTGGAGTGGGTTGCCATTTCCTACTCTAGGGAATCTTCCTGGCCCAGGGATCAAACCTGTGTCTCTTAAGACTTCTGCCTTGGCAGGTGGGTTCTTTACCACTATCTCCACCTGGGAAACCCATGCCCAAGCCTCACCAATACCTTATTTAGATAATGGAATTTGGGACTTTTGGCCTGATGAGATTTAGATAGGATTATGAACTCTTAGCCGATTTTGTTATGAATTGAGAACTTTAGGAATATTAAGACAAGGTGAATGCACTCTTCATTGTTACCTACAAATGAGACAGGCTGTAACAGAAGTGGTCGAAAACGTATATAATATTTGTTTTTCTCTTTATGACCTTACTCTGTATTAGCCTCTAGGTTCATCCATGTCTCTACAAATGACCCAGTTTCATTCCTTGAAAAATGGTGTAGATGATCTTATTCGCAAAGCAGAAGTAGAGACACAGATGTAGAGAAGAAAGGTATGGATACTGAGGGAGAAAGGGGATGATGGGAGGAATTGGGAGATTGGGATCAACATAAATACACTCTGGACACTATGGATGAAACAGGTAACTTAAAAAAGCAGATAACTACTGAGAACCTACTGTATATCCCAGAGAACTCTACCTGATGCTCTGTGGTGACCGAAATGGGAAGGAAATTAGAAAGCTATTGTACAGCTGATTCACTTTGCTGTACAATAGAAGCTAACATCCTAACACATTGAAACATTGTAACACAACTGTACTCCAACGAAAATTCTTTAAAAAATGAGGCTGTGTGATACTAGATTAGGGATCATGGTAAAAGTCAAGTAAAAGAATTTAGATTTCATTCTGTATAAAGCAAGCAGTCTCTGTAAAGTACAGCAGTAGACAGGAATGGGATCTGCAAAGCCAATGGGATTTTCAAATAAACCACCCTCTGTATCCAGACCTCAGTGCCAAATTTAGAAAACAACACTCATTATTTAAAAGAAAGTGACTGTAATGTTTATCTCAGACTCTTAGATTATTAGACTCTTTCCTAAGCTTTTCCTTTGTCTAAAACAAGTGCCCTGGTCCAAGAGCACTGACCATCTCATGTAATATAAGCAAAAGACTTTGATTGTGACTCTCAAAGAAAGAACTTAGTGTGATTTTGGTAACACCCATAAGTGAGAATCTAGAAGTCAGGAGTGTGGACTTTGAGCTTCAGTTTCCTCATACAGATGCTCCTGAGTTTGGGGTGGAGAACTGTCTTACTGGTGTTTTATCACTTCATAAATGACGTGTTTTGCAAAATTTCTATCATGCCTTCCTGGATGTGCTTCTAGTTGATTCCTAGAACTGTAGTCAAATGTATTACATCATATGAATGGAAATAGGGGTCACTCAACTCTGCTCCTCCCTGCCCCTACCTTTAACCACCTTGTCTCTTTCTGTACCTGTAATTGCCTCCACCAGGCTAAGAACTCTCAGATCTCCAGTTTTGGTCCAGGCATATTACCTCCTGCTGAATCTCCATCTCAAGACTAGAAGAGGCCCTTCAAATTTAGGCTGCCCCCAACATGCACATTCGACCTTCATGTGAAACCTGCTCATTTTTATCCCCTGCCTCCCCCCTGAGTTCTCCATTCACAGAACAGTCCAAGTTAGAATGTTATCTTAATCACTTTTTCTTTTTAACATAGTTTGTTCAGTCAACCCCCAAGTACTGTTAATTCTGGCTCTTAAATCTCTCCCAATTCCATACTTCTTTCTCATCACCATTGCCTTAGTTCATGTCTTCAACATCTCTCTCTTTTATATTGAAATATAGTTGATGCATCATACCATATAAGTTACAGGTGTACAATTTAGTGATTCACAATTTGTAAAGGCTATACTCCTTGTATAGTTATTGTAAAATATTGGCTGTATTCTCTGTGTTGTACAATATACCCTTGTAGCTTATTTTATGGAGAAGGAAATGGCAACACACCCCAGTATTCTTGTCTGGAGAATCCCAGGGACAGGGAAGCCTGGCATACTGCAGTCCACGGGGTCGCAAAGAGTCGGACACGACTGAGCGACTGAACTGAACTGAACCGAGAAGAGAAAGTTCCAGCTCATTGGCAGGGCAAATGTCCTTTCTGTCTGATCTCTGACTTCCTCTTTGCCCCGGGGTCCTTTCACATCCCCCGCTAAGGCTATCCAAGGAAGAAAAACAAGCAGATTATGGTTTTCTGAGCACATGTCCTCTTGTATCTGAACATTTGTCAGTGCTTCCTCCCCTTGTCTGCCAGGCCCCTTCCTAAACCAAACTTCCTGCTCCCTTGTCTGGGGAGCCCTGAGCCCTTTTCTCTGTTGGAAAACAGTTATTTCTTCAGATCCCAGCTCGAATTGTCTTTGGGAAATATCCGTTGGCCAGTCATCCCTCAAATAAAATTAATTATTCTACTCTGTGTAATCTCAGTGCATTTCCTTCTTTTGTTGCAGTTCTCACGTTGTAAGTTAAATTGTTTGCTTAGCTGCCCAGTTTCCTTAAGGAAATGTAGATTCCTTGAAGCTTTGACTGTGCTTCTTCCAGCACAATGCTTGGCATGAGTGGGCACTCAGCAATTAACTTGAGAATTAACTATTAACTTGAGAACTTCATTTGAAAGCAAGGTAACAAGGGATATCTGAGATTAGGCACAACTCCTGTGAATGCCTGTGACTCCAGCTGATCAGATCTTTTTTTTTCCTAAGTGCTCTCAAGGGCCACGTCTATTAACAAGTCTGGTAACTTTTCTGAGGATCAGGGTCATTGATCTGTAGTTCCCCAAATCTGCCTTGTTAAAACTGGGACATCTGTCAGGGTCAGTCTCCTGTCAGACTGTCCACTCACTGGGAGCTCTCAAGTAACCAGAGGGGACTGCTCTGGGCTAACCAGTGTCCCTCCACATTTTTATATTGAAGTCCTAACCCCTAGGGCCTCAGAATGTGACTCTTTGGAGTTAGGCTCTGTTTAGAGGTAAAAGAGGTCCCTGAGCTGGGCTCCAGTCCAATCTGATGGATGTGCTTCTAAGAAGAGGTGATCACGACCGACATACCCACAGACGGATGACTGTGTGAAGACATTGAGACAATAGTGTCACGTGCCAAGGAGAGAGGTGTCAGCAGAAATCAACCCTACCAACACCTTGATCTTAGACTTCCAGCCTCCAGGCCTGTGACAGAATAAATGTGTGCTGTTTAAGCCCCTTGATCTGTGGTATTTTGTTATGGCAGCCCCTGTTGAATAGTACAGGTGCCTTCTGACTTCACTTCAGTTGCCGGATGCTGGGCAGAAACTGGATCAGCCCTGAGAGATAAACATGTTTCAGAAGTTCAGATTTTCCTGAACCCATATGTGCTTTGAGTTTTCAGCCCTTGGACTGTTCATTCTGTTATTCTGGTTTGGCAATAGCTAGCGCAGTCTTTTGGAGAAGGAAATGGCAGCCCACTCCAGTACTCTTGCCTGGAGAATCCCAGGGACGGGAGCCTGGTGGGCTGCCGTCTATGGGGTCACACAGAGTTGGACACGACTGACTTAGCAGCAGCAGCGCTGTCTTTAGCGGGTTTCTTTTACGGGTAGATGTGGCTAGAATACGTTTTCTCATAAAATCTTGTCCACAAATTCTATGGCATAGATTCTGTTATTGATCTCAGTGTAGAGATAAGGAAAATGAGATTCAAATACAGTCAGTGGCTTGCCTTAGGTCCTCGTAAGTAGCAGAGCTGAAATTCAAACTGGGTGTGACCTTTTGGGCTCTTAAAGGATGGCAAATACCAACTCTCCTTGAAATTCAACCCAGAGGGAAGACTGATATTGACTGGGCTGTCCTGTGCTCGGTCGCTTCAGTCCTGGCTGACCCTTTTGTGACCCCGTGGACTGTAGCCTGCCAGGCTCCTCTGTCCATGGGATTTCCCAGGTAACAGTATGGAAGTAGGTTGCCATCTCCTTCTCCAGAGAATCTTCCCGACTCACGGATTGAACGCACATCTGCTGTGTCTCCTACATTGCAGGCAGATTCCTTACCTGCTGAACCATCAGGGAAGCCTGGTATTGACTAATTTTCTCTTTTGTTCTGTTATCTCTTATCCATGTATCATCCCGTTTTCCTGCTTCTCACACATTTATTGGCTGTCTCTACATGCCAGCACAAGCTCATCTATTTTTCCTGAATTTTCTTCTTTTTCAGCAGCACCACACGGGCCTGTGGGATCTCAGTTTCCTGACCAGGGATTGGACTCAGGCCACGTTAGTGAAGTGCAGAATCCTAACCTCTAGGCCACCAGGGAACCAGTGCACTTTCTTCTCAATGACTGTGGCCGTGTAAAAAAAAAATGTCATCCTCAGAGTTTTCCACAAGTACTCATTCTGCACTTCTGTCTTTCAGACGTAACTTTCACCCGAGTATGTCACATTTTGGAAATTCTCCTGGAACATTGCTCTGGTTTGGGGTGTTTTCTTCACCTTGCAGCTGTGGTTCTGATGGTCTCTGTTAATCCCAGAAGCCACAGCAGGAGTCATCCTGGCTGTCTTGAGTGTTCTGTGCCTCTTTCACTCATGTGGGGACTGTTTGTGTCAGCCTCTTTTCCTTCCAGTATCCCTGATGGTGGACTCACTCTTACCTTTCCTCTAAGTTTTGATGACACCTCTGTCTTCTAATCCTTTTGTAACCACACCTGTGGTCATTTACTGCTCATGTCCAGTGGAAAGTTGCCAAGTTCTAATCTGTCTGCTCAATGCTTCTGGCACCCATGCCATGGACCCTCCTCATTCTGGCCCTGGAAAATTGTTGCCAAGACTATAACTTCAAATTTCTTCCATTGCAACTACTTTCCCCATAAACATTGTCTCTGTAGTTGTGACACGCTGGTATTTGCCTCACCATGCTCTCTTGCCCTAGGAAGCTTGCTCATGCTGTTTTCTTTGCTTGGAATGGGCGTGCGTGCTAAGTCGCTTCAGCCATATCCAACTCTTTGCGACCCCATGGACTACAAACCACCAGGCTCTTCTGCCAATGGAATTCTCCAGGCAAGAATACTGGAGTGGGTTCCCATGCCCTCCTCCAGGGAATCTTCCTGATCCAGGGATTGAAACTGCATCTCCTGCAGCTCCCTGTTTCCAGGCAGATTCTTTACTGCAGAGACAGCTGGGAAGACCCCTTTGTTTGGAACGCTTTTGCCCCTTTCCCCTACTTCACTGGGATGTTATCCCAGACATCCTCAGACTACTGGCTTCCCCACATGTTAGGGTTTGAATTGTGTCCCCCCCAAAGTCATGCATTGAATTTACCCCCACTGCTTCAGAAGGTGGCCTTACCAGAAGTAGGGTCATTGCAGATGTAATTAGTTGAGAAGAGGTTATACTGGAGTAGGCCAGGCTCTTAATCCAATACAGCTGATGTCCTTATAAAAAGGGGGGCATTTGTGACAGAGGATAAAGAATATGTGGTACATATATACAATGAACTATTACTGACCATTGAGAAGAATGAAATAATGCCATTTGCAGCAACGTGGATGGACCTAGAGACTATCATGCTGGGTGAAGTAAGTCAGAGAAGGAGAAATATGGTACGGCATCCCTTATATGTGGAATCTAAAAAGAAATGATACAAATGCACTTAACAAAAGAGAAGGAGACTCACAAACTTAAGAACAAACTTATGGTTGCTTGGGGTGAGAGAAGGATAGGGGAAGAGATCGGGAGTTTGGGATCCACATGTACACACTGCTATGTTTATTTATTTATTTATTTATTTATTTTTTACTGCTATGTTTAAAATGGATAACTAGGAAGGACCTACTATTGCATAGGGATCTCTGTTCAGTATTATGTGGCAGGCTGGGTGGGAGGGGGGTTTGGGGGAGAATGGAGACATGTACGTGTATGGCTGAGTCCCTTCACCGTTCACCTGAAACTATCACAGCTTCCTTAAATCTACTATACTTTAAAATAGAATAACTTTTTAAAATAAAAAGGGCACATTTGGACAGAAATACAGGCACACAGGGAAATGCTGTTTGAAGATGGAGGCAGAGATCAGAAGCCAAGTTGTTTTCAGTCACTGAGTCGTGAGAGCGTGCCAAGGTCCTCCATCCATGGGATTCTCCAGGCAGGAATACAGGAGTGGGTTGCCATTCCCTTCTCCAGAGGAACTTTCCCACCCAGGGTTTGAACCCGGATCTCCCACATTGCAGGCAGATTCTTTACCATCTGAGCCACCAGGGAAGTTCTCCAACTTCCAAAAGCCAAGGGGCCCCCACAATTGCCAGCAAACCACCAGAAATGAGGGGAGAGCCTGGAGCAGATTCTGCCTCACAGCCCTCCAGAGGAACTAACCCTAAAATCCCTTGATCTTGACCTCTAGCCCCAGGCTGAGAGAATAGATTCTGTTGGTGAAGCCACCCATTCTGCAGTACTGTTACAACTCCCCTGGGGAATGAATACACCATCAATACACCCTGTCCAACTTCTCCTGCTCAGTTATGGCCATGATGATAAGAATTTAT